TTATTCGAGATAGATAGAACCGGCTGATAGAAGAGCAAGCCAGAAATAGTGTTGGCCTTTAGAACTATGGACCAAGTTGTCCTTCGAGAAAATTGAATTTCTGATAGGTTTTTCGAAAGAAAGAAAGAATAGCTGTTATCAAGTTATAACTATAGGTTTATTATCGGGGTAGTAATAGAGATCGGAAATTGTTCCTCTTTAATTTGTAAGTATCAATATTCAACTATGATTTCGACGAAATATCACAGTTGTGTACATTCGAATATTCTCATTAAATCCTCTTTCGACATTTCGTTCGAAACCTTACCCTCCGCTTTTGCCATTCCTACCCTTTACTCAGCAATTTCCTTTCAGAGCAAACAACCTCCAGAACTCCCCAAAAATCCTGGCGCCACCTCAGCCATTTCACCCTCACCCTCGAACCCTTCTCTTTTTCACCGCCATTTGGCCATTCCCTACCAAAATTTCCACTCTGTGGAACCTTTGTAACTTTCTTTCTCTCTCTGTCTCTCCCTTCATTCTTTCACTGTCTCTCTCTCTCAGAGCTCAAAGAAACTGTAAAGCCTAATGTTAAGGCGATGAACGCGCGAGTATGTAGGCCAGAGAGAGAGTTTCACGTACGATCCACACAGGTCAACAGACCTACAGTGGAAGTTTCGAGTAGCGTCTCGACGCCGGCGGAGGACGTCCTGTGAACCTACGTCGGCGTCGGGATGCGGCCACGGACGAGCCTGCGCCTCGAGGAGGGCGCGCGTCGCACGATCCAGCGGCCAGTCGATAGACGACCTCGTTCGAGCTTCGACGAATCCCACGGGCATATTTCCATGGTCCTGATCGACATATACTACTATCCTACACCCCCGGCACTGGTGGCCTGGACCCATTAAGAGAGAGAGAGAGAGAGAGACAGAGGGTTACAGGTGTTGACAAACGGATGTGTCTGGCAGCTGTTGTTTGTATCCGTGGACACAAAGTCACGAAGCTCGTCGAAGCCTTGTGATATACCCGCTGTTGCTGCTGCTGTGGTGAACAGTGCAAGTGGCGTCACTCTTGAGGACGATTTTACGATTAAACGGGGAGAACGTAACAACTTTTAACAAAAGAAGCAGATAGGGTGACACTGAGACAACGTGTATAGTATGTAGTAGACCTAATACACAAACCTTTCCGTCGTCGTCGTCGTTGTCGTCCACCTTTCTTTTTGATGCTACGAAAGAGAGAGGATTCGATTGGTGAAAAAAGAAGGAAAGTCGTTTGATGGTACAAGAGGATGATATGGAAGTCGCAGATGTCGGGGAATTCACCAGGCTGATCGGGGACGCTCTTTTCGCGGCTCGTGTTATCGATTTCGTCGGGATGTCCTGTTTTAACGGGACGGAGGGCGGCTCGTTGCTGCTCGGTTTCGTCTCGGGAAACGTTCCGCGACGTTTGCACGCTCTACACGAATGATAACCTAGAATATGTAGGTGACACTGGCGAACACTGATGGACAGGTACGCTGCCTTTTCCTTCTATCCTGAAGGATGCTTTTCTCGCTATTCTCTTCATTCTCTCTTGTCTCGCCTTTCACGTCTTCTCTTCTCCATGTTTCTCTTTGTGTTTCTTCTCGTTGCTTCGTGGTTCACTCTCGGTGGACATATGATTGTTAGATTGTTAAATTTGTTTTTTTTTTTTTATAGACTGATGAGAGTTGCTTTTCAACGTACGTCTTTTCTTTTCGATGTTTCTCTTTGCGTTTCTTCTGGTTGCTTCGTGTTGATTCTCTAACAAATGATCGTTAGATTTTTGTTTTTCCTTACGGATCGATGAGAATTGCTTTTGAATGTGCGTTTTAGGTAATTGTCGTCAAGTGTTGTGTATTTGTTGTTGGAATGTGAGCATTCAGGTTGTTCGAATAAAAGCTGATCGAGTTATTTCGTTGATTTCGGTTGTTCAGTGGTGTTCGACGAAGACCACTTTGAGGGATGATTTTCTACCCGTTTCACCGTCGATTTTGTTTCAATCGATGCTATTGATGGCCTTGTTTCACTGGGGAAAGTAGCCTTAAGTGTACGTATATTAATCGATCGGAAAGAATGGCTTCCTGAATACCTCGCAAAGCAATTTCACAACAGCTTCAGTGTGTTTCTGTGGCTATCGTAAAAATGTCCACTCTGAATAACAAATTTTCCGATTGAATAGCAAATCGGAAGTTATACACGAATATTGTATGTAAATTCCACTTGGAACTAGTATACAATTTATTCTTACTATTGTTCGACGGTGAAACTTTGCACCTATATCCTAGTTACCTGTACTCTAACTCGTACTTTTCGTTACCTTTAGTCATATCGTATTAAACGTCGAACGATAAACGATAAGAATGTTCGAACAAACAAAATTTGTATGTAGGAATTAGCGAGGTGCGATTTGGTGCAACAGAAGATTACCGCTCGAAAAGTTCGCGCTAATTCTATCGAATTCATTTGTATATGTTGTAACCGGTATTGCATAACAGCAGGATAACCAGTGGACTTTCGATCATCCGTGTCATGTTTGACTGAATGTCTGACGATAAGCCCGCAGAATAATTGGTGTTAAACGAATCTCTGTTTCCCGATAATTAAGTTCAGTGTGTGTTGTTGCCGGTTATCTATCTGTCGCGCGTGGTTTATTCCTGTTTGTCAAAGTTACCACTTCTTCAGATTAATCCATTATCTTTCCTGTGTGCATAAACCTTCCTTTTTTTTTTTCTTTTTTTTTAACGCGTGGTTAACGTCAACACACCATTGAGAAAATAAAAAACTGCGATACAAAAGGAGTAAGAAGCAAAAAGACAATATCGAAAGAAATAGGAAGAACCGTGCTGATATCTCCTGAAATTTAACACGCGCGATTCACGTTCCACGAGAAGTATCACACACAATCATCAAGGTTTCGTGTCTGAGATTCTTCGAATTTCATCGGGTTTTCGGTGATTCTGTTAAAAAATTCGATAAAAATTCTTCACTTCGATTGGAGTGACTCGAATGCAAAGTATAAGGATTGTTTCTTTAATAAATTTTAAAAAATTTACCACGTAGAATGTTTTGAAAACACGAATAGATTGAAATGCACGACAAGTGGGGCAATAAATCAAACACAGTGTCGATCGAACATAATTAACAAATAGAATTAATCGACGACGAAGAAGGTTAGACGTGATTTTTTTGCGCCATTTGTTACGGAAAATCTCCGTTGCTTCTCTTATTTATCATTTTTCACCGGTTCCGCATGTATCTATGACGATACTAATGCAAATGCGTAATAGGAGAAGACTGAACGTGTAGATTCTGCTTTGTATGGCAAACAGAATATATTTCCATATATTACACGGATTTCTCTTTTTTCTCTTTTCTCTCTCTTTACCATCGTCTTTTTGCCGGACAATTTCGTTTAGTAGTTTCCAAGCAGACGTGTGTAACAAGCTGTTGCTGATTTATTTACGAATTTACATATTTTTCTAATCGAATAGGTTCTTTTTTTTTTTTCAATGGATCTTAACATAGAGTACATCGATGTATGAGACGAACGAAATATCGCTTCCGAGTTTTTCCCCCTGTTTTGTCCTTTAAAAGCTATACCACGCGACACCCTCGTGAGCTTTTACCTTTAACACTGTCAGACACGAGCACACTTATACATACATACCCTCTGGAGTACCATTCAGCCGCAATGACGTCCATACTTATTTCTAGAATCCTTTTTCCAAACATCACCATTCAGTCTTTAACGTTTAAAAAATCCTTGGCTATTGATACTGGCTTGGAGAACTGAACTGTGTTGCGAGCCGGCGTTGCACCGTTGTCTATACACCTTTCAACTTTATTTAAAAATATGTTTGCCTTCTGCAGACACACTTTAACCTGTCGGTAAATATCGCGTATGGAACAATAACATGTTTGACTTGGTCTGATTTGTTTTGTTTCGTGTTTTTTTTTTCCGTCTTTCGAATTCGTTTCGAATTTTTCGGTGAAGATTCGAGAACGTCTAGAATATTGCTTATTATAGAATAATTTGAGAAAGTTCAAATTTAAAATCATACGGTTTCAGTACGTTTCCTTCGTAATTCGAGGAAATCGTCAGATTCGAGTTTTCGGGATTTCGAATTTTTCGAAGAAAATTCTCGAAGACTCTCGAGAATATTTTTCATTATTCTAGAATAATACGAGACACCTCTAATTTAAATTTACACAGTTTTAACACGTTTTCTTTTTTCCTGTACAGTGTTTGGAATTTTTCGAAAAGGGTTCTCGAAAAAATTCGAAAACGTCGGGAATATATTTCATTATTATTGAATAACTCGAGAAACTTCGATTTAACACGTGTTACGTGGTCCCAGTTAGCGGTTGTAATAGTATTTAAATTTGATTTTATTTCCTGGCCCTTCAGCGTCCACCGTTCTAATCGTAACAGGTTGAATAATCGGGGCAACAATTATCGATCGTTCTTACGTCAGGATGGTGTGTTCATACGTTTCACGGACTACGATTTAATTCGTTCAGCAACGCGGAATTGAAACGTGTGGCCGCTTCAAAGGATAACGTTAATATTCGCATAGAAGAAATGCTCTGAAACGTAGATACAAATAGACGTTATCGAATAAACGAATAAATTCCTATTTCATTTTCTTACAACTCATTCGACAAAGTACCTACGTATCCACAAACTATGCTAAAAGTTTCTAATTTGTCGCAAGAATTATTCGACAAGAGTGCAGTTTTTCTCTCAGCCGCGATTTACGCCGCTGAATGTTTGATTTATTGTCATTAATAACCAATTTACAGTCGAGTTGCGAACAAACCTGACTTTTATGGACGCGGTCGACAGAATAAGAAGCTGCGATGTCCGATAATTAAAAGTGATGAGGAAAAAAAATGCCTAATTAACTGTGAAATAATTTCTTCCTTACGAATAATTACGAAAAAGCATATCTAATTTTCCACGGATTTTCAACAATTGTTTCGTCTTTCTGTTTTCAGGAATAAAGAGGAAATGGCGCCCAATATAACGAGTACCCCAACGGGTGGACTGTACGAAGAGGAATCAGTCGATCAAGCAACGATGTTCGATCCGCCTAAGCAGCAGTACCAGAGACACATTGTCTGGAGGAACGTGATCATATTCTCGTATCTTCATTTAGGCGCCGTTTATGGACTGTTCCTCATTTTCAGTTCTGCAAAACTGCTGACAACATTGTTCGGTGAGTGACCATGAAATAGCTTCTGTTCTTTCCTTCGTAAACCTTTCATAATCGGGATTGTATCCGTTTGAAACGTAGAGAAGATCGCGTGGAAATTATCTCTTTGCAGCAATACACCAAATTAAATACCATAGTTGAAAATTTATAGGAGAAACTCTCGATTAGAGTAGGATAAAATATATTTATCAACGAGGACTGATGGTCAGATGGTCAAATTCTTTTTGGTGTCTTTGTGATGATTTCTTGAGAACGAGGATTTTATCGGAGAAGGAGATGTTTGTTTAAGCTAGTTGGAGAAATCGTACAGTTGGAATGTTGATAGAAGGCTCGTTTGTACGGATAACTCAGGTGAACTGTAATTAATTGCACCGAAAAACCGGCGAGTTGGCAGTGTGCAGCGACAGAGAGCGTCGAATTGCACACCTGTTGATGCACGCAGATTTTCGTGCTCATTTTCAAAAGAATTCCTCTCGGATATCGTTCCGCGGCTTTTATATTTGTACGGCTGATTGCGGGTAATAAATTGAGGTGCGTGTAGAGGCATTTGTCTTTTTCTTTAACCCTTCGACAGTTTATCCCGTGTGAGACTCGGGCAGAGCGTGAAATATCGAGAGAGGGTCTCAGGAAGAAAGTTAGGAATGGTCCAGATATTATTATCGTAACTATACCGTAGGGTTATGCATCCCCTGTTTTAAAAACCATCACACACGGCGTAACTATTCCAAAGATACGTGTAAAATACTAAATTTTCTTCACCGTGATTCATAATTTTATTAGACTGTCAAAGGGTCAAATTGTAGCAAGTTTGCTATTTAGTTAATAGAGAAAGACAAACATAATTAGGTCGTCTGATGCAAAATTTTAGATTTTTTCGGGAGGAATGAAAATCATTTTTTAAATGCAAAAATGTCTCTTAGATTTCCCAGCACTAAGTTATCCACGATCTTTAAGTTAAAATGAAAGAAACTCAGAACTTTTTGTAATTGCAAATGACACGCAAATGATTAGAAAATTGGCAAATACATTAGATCTTTCAATTGTTTAAATTCAAAACACTAACCTAAATTAATATTCAAAAATTTGGAACTTTTAATGATACGAAAATTTGCAAATAATCATAAGTACATTTCACGTCGGATTTCCTCGTAAACAGGGAGCGTTCACACAATTTTCAAACAATTCCTTCGTTCTCTTTACAGCGTTCTCTTTGTACGTGGCCGGTGGATTGGGAATCACAGCCGGTGCTCACAGATTATGGGCACACAAATCATACAAGGCGAAATGGCCGCTCCAGTTGCTGCTGATGATCTTCAACACCATAGCGTTCCAGGTAAGCGATCGATTCGTGATCGAAGCGATCCGTGACCGTGTCCGTGAACGAACCGTACGATGATCCTGTTACACGTGATTCAAGGAAAAAAAAGAAAAAAGAGAGGGGGAGATCATTATCATTCGAAAACGGGAGAGACGACCTTTGAGCGAATGTTTAGCGGTTCTTCTTGTTGACGAAATTACGGAATTTGACTCATTTGAAACGAGTTGAGAGCTGGTTTTTTGCATGTCCAAATCTTCTTAATTGGTTTCGCAACCATTTTCTAGGAATCTTCTTTCTGCTGTTGAAATTATGTAGAGATATGACATAATCGATGGGACGAAGAAGAAGATTTGTGTGTTAGGGGAAATGGTTCACGTTGACGACTTAAATTGCACAGGCAAAAAGGAAAAGGAACTTGTTCATATTGATGACTTAAATTCCACCGGCTCTTTATGCTTTCTCGACAATAAAACGATTCACGTGGTGGCTTTTCGTTGTATGTATATTGAAGAGGAGAGGCCAGGCCTTCTTTGTGTATAATAAACGTCAGGTATCGTGGAGTTGTAGCACAGAATGGTATATCTGATGTCCGATATTTCGACGTTGTTAAATTTTTCCGGACGATACTTTTCGTGAATAGAAGCATCGCCGGACATTTCTCAAATGGAGAACGCTCTTTTCTTAACGCCTTGTCCATTTAGAATGCCAGCTGGGCCGGTAGGAGCATTCATTTTAGCAACTTACACTTCAGGAAATTGTAAAATGTAGAATTTCCAACTCTAATGTTTCGTTTTCTGAGAAAAGAAAGTAATCTGAAATTTTTCGTGAATTTTCCAAGTCTAATATTTCGTTTCCTCAGCAAAAAAAAGTAATGGAAGATTTTTCGCGAATTTTCCAAATTTAACGTTTCGTTTTCTCAGCAAAGCACTCAGTCACATTATATTTATACTTACTATCAAGTTAAAGGAAGAAAATCTTGAAACACTACTCAAGTGCAAAGGGTTAATGAACACCTCTCAGTCAGCATGTTTACGCATAGTTTCCATTCGTCGAACCTGTGCAAAGTGTCATATGTATTCAAATAATTCACATCGTTCCTCAAACTGTTCAAACTAATACAATCGATCCAACCAGTTTCAATTTCTTTTACACTCTCCTGTGATCTACTTTCTTACTATTTCTCATTAAAATCTCCAATGTTTTTATTCTTTTCTCTCTCCTTTATACACCGTGTTCGTACATGAATATTCGAGAATTTCTGGTCGCTTCTCGACCATTCGAGCAGGGATTTCAAGTGGTCACAAACGACGGCCACTTCACTCGAGAAGCGTCAGCTAATTAGATCGAAGAGGGATTCTGTCGAGTGTCCAATTTGTTCGTTCGACACCCCGTCCAATTAGAGCCTGTGCCTGAACTAAACGAATCTATCTTTCTTTCTTTCTTACTTCTTTTATTTTTTTTTTCTTCTAATTTTTCTCTCTCTCGTTTGTCGTCGACAGGATTCAGCGATCGATTGGGCCAGAGATCACAGGCTTCACCATAAATACAGCGAGACGAACGCTGATCCTCACAACGCCAAGAGAGGTTTCTTCTTCGCGCACGTGGGCTGGCTGCTGTGCAGAAAACACCCGGACATCAAGGAGAAAGGCAAAGGAATCGATTTGGGTGACCTATGGAGCAATCCTATACTGGCGTTCCAAAAAAGGTGAGGCGCTTTTCGGCCAAATCGACGCGAGAAATTTTTCCTCACTCGAGTGTGAAAAATTGTATCGTCTCTTCGGAATTTTCTTTTTCTTTTTGCCTTCTTTTAGTGACGATGTATTTTTTTTTATATAATATGTTTCATGATTTGTACACAGGTATTACACGTATTTGATGCCCGTGTTCTGCTTCGTCCTACCGACAGTTATCCCTGTCTACGGCTGGAACGAGAGCTGGAAGAACGCTTACTTCGTATCCACAGTTCTGCGATATGTGGTCACGCTGAACGCAACCTGGTTGGTCAACTCCGCGGCTCATCTATTTGGGAACAAACCATACGACAGGTTGGTCTCCTTTCCTCGTGATTCTTTTTGTTTCATTGAGTCAGAGATAAGAAGGAAATACCAATGTTTCTGTTTGTTATTACTGGTCACGTAATGGTACTTTTTATTAGGTACTTTGTAATATTTTTGCGAATTTTTTCTATCTCCAGTTCAGTAGCAAAATGTCGATACTTAATATTAATATTTCACGTAATCGTAGCTTGAAAATTTCATACCAAAATACTTCCTCAATTATGTGTAATTTCAAATCAAAATATTCAATTATAAAACAGACTAACAGAGTGTTGGTTGACTTCTGAGTTACTGAATGATGACAAATTCATCATTAAAAATATGTAACCATAAGCGACGAACAAGAATCTTAGTGAATCATTAAGAATTATTAAATTAGAATATTGCTGAATTATTAATGAAACATTGAAATAATCTCTCAGGTTCATCAATCCTGCGGAGAACAAAGGTGTGGCCATAACTGCGTTTGGCGAAGGTTGGCACAATTATCACCACGTGTTCCCGTGGGACTACAAAACCGCGGAGCTGGGTAACTACTCTTACAACCTGACGACGGCGTTCATCGACTTTTTCGCGAAGCTCGGTCTCGCGTACGATCTGAAGATCGTTCCCACAGACTTAGTGAAGAAACGAGTGGAAAGAACCGGCGACGGGAGCCACGAACTTTGGGGTTGGGGTGATAAAGATCAGACGCAAGAGGACAGGGATCAGACGCTGGTGATGCATTGCCTGAAGAAGGATCACTAGAGACACGATCATCGTACGAGGAGGGGCTGATCCGTTCGTTCGTTCGTTGCACGCTTGTTTAAAAGTAGGGAAAACAAAAAACAAAAAAAAAAAAGAAAACACGAACGAGACAGCTCCGCTTCTTTGTACAGTTCTTACGAATGGGGCGGGATATCATGTATTCGAGAAACAGTCGGAACATTTTGAGATATTTAAATATTTTTTAGTCACGCGGTTATACCAGCGGTCAGCTACGTTCGATTTTCATTGAAATCTGGTTCACGGTATTCCTCGAATAATACTTCTTATTCGGTATATAAAATATTGATATATTATTTATTCAATGTGTCAATAAATCTATATATTATTATTCCTGGAGTAATATCTCCTTTGAGTAACGTTATACAAAATACAGTACTCGTTTGATTGTGCGTTTCATATTGTCTATATTTGAGTTCGTATTACCATCGAATGGGAAACATTTAGTCAATTCTTTTTTTTATTATTATTAGTATCATTACACCATGAGTAGAACCAGTTTATTGCGAATGCTGTGAATATTGGTTTCTATAAATGTGAAACAAAGGGTCTTATTCCGATTGCGACGCGGTAAGATTACCTCGCGGAGAATCAAACGCAGCCGACATTAACGGTTCCGCGTTTCACTCAATGATAGGTCATTTGGCAGGTTCTAAATGTCCTCAGTGTGATCCCGTGAGATAGTCAGACACCTCGGCCAGTCTCATTGTTCCTCGTTTCCTTGATCACGTTTTAGATCGCAACGATAGACTCGCGCGCGACGAACGAATATCAGTTCGTAGCCCCGATATAACGTCTGTGCTTTATCGTCACTGCTAAACTCATTACGCTATATTCCACAGAATCTTCGGATTCGATCGAACCTCTTTTTTTCTTTCTTCCTTTTAATCGATGCTTTTCAACGCGTCGAAAGTCCTATCGGGTAAATTCTTCTTCTTTTCTTTTTGTTTACATTCATCCGGCGTAGACGTGTTAAGTTTTAAGGACGTGTCTCGGGGCTACGAAAACAAACAATAGGAAAAGAAAAAACGAACCTTTTCATTGGTGAAGGGAGAAAGAGACATTCCGTCGACGCGAGTCGTATGTTTATTAATTATAGTGTGACCGTGCAACCAGGATGCGTTGAACGTTTCGTGAACAAACAAATGGTGATGGATCGAGATGAAAATGCCTACTTTGTACAGTAAAGATTCTCGCTTCGATATGATTAATACGATTGTGTTTGACCCCTGATTTTGCACGCGTCGATAGCAAATCGTCTGAATATTTCTCTGTACTCTTTATTTTTTAAGTCTCATCTATCCTCTTCCGTCGTGTTTCATTTATTCTCTATTCCAGATGGGACATACCATTTCTATTATCATCTGAAACGTGCATCGAATTTTCCTTTTATAACAAAGATCCACGAGATCAATAGCATTACTTCCACTCTACCCCCCGCCTACCCTTACCCACCTTTTTCTCTTCTACTCGTTCAAGCATTTAGTTGCAATTATTCTCGTTGCACGGGATACAATGTAAATGTTGTTTTATAGTCACGTTTGTACACAACATTTACCAATCATCGATACCACGGGAACTCGAGTGTAATCCCCTATCCCCCCCATCTCCTTCCTTTCTTTCTCTAATCAATTTTGCATTCGCCATTAGATTAAAGCTAACCCTGGAAAGCGGTAGCTTCCGAGGAGCGTGATACGCGGGGTTTCTAGTTCTTTCTTCTTCGATTTTTAAATATATATATA